AGCAGGCAGGGTCTTGGGCCAGCACTCAAAGTTGTAGCGAGACGCCTAATGTCGTCAACACCTCCGTATACTGGCGGCTGCAATGTAAGGCAGGGCCTGGTATAGGACTACTAACTAATAAAGGCTATTCGTAGAAAAGCTCAAGCGAGCAAAAGGATGGGTTTCAGAAAATGATCGCGGCTGTTTAGGCCGGGCAAAGGAAAACGTGTAATGGCTATCTAAGTGGTTTGTTGGCGATGTGCTCAACGAATCACCTAGAGAGAAATGATGTGAGCGGTATGCGAGAGTCGGAGTCTCCTATAGTTCAAACCTAATGTCACAACCCAATAACGAATTAACGCTGGGCAGAGACTAGGACTCAAACGAAGGTTATCGGACAAAGAGAATGATGAGCAAGTACGTCTTGGATTGCTACAATGTAGATACAAGAGGTTTGAACTAAAGAACTATCGACCAAGACATGCTACCTATATACAACTATTGAAACTGAGATTGAAACTGAGTTACAACTACTAGCCAATCATAAAAAGAGAAAGGGAATCGTACCATAGAACATCGTAGAATATTAAAGAAGCATCACGTGACCATATCTTATCTTATCGTATCTAATCTAATCTATTCACAATCAAAGAACTCGTCTTCTTCATCAGTCACATCGAAGACACGTGTTGTAGGCGCTAAAGGTATTTCAGGAATGATAGATGCTTTCAAGGTAGGGTTAGGGTTTGATTTAGGCGCTGTGTATTGACGCTTAGGAAGATTCAAGAAAGAATAATGGTTTGTTAAAGGTACTCGTGACAGTAATCAGGTGAAATGGAGCATGGATAGGCTTCGTCTGAGAAAGGGTCTGGCCAGATGTACTGGCTTTGCTGGAGTGAAAGGTAGAGAGCAAACAGGAATGTGAGGATGACAAGGGTGGCAAGAGTGAGGTCAGGGTAAGGGTGTGATGCAAGGACTGAGACGAGTATAATGAGGAGAAAAATGGTAGGGGCCCAAGCATCTAGATGTTCTTGTAACATTACCCCAGTGTAAAGAGTAAATCTAGGCTGGGCTCTACAGAATGTGAGTCCCAAGTCCTGAGAGATGCGAGTGTGCTTCGTCTCAAGAGACAACCTAAAAACTACCTTGATAAAAATGCAAGGGAAGTCTTATACAGTCAGAGAGTAGACAAGATATAGGGAAGTAAACCTCTAATGTTTATCCAAAGTACTGAGATACTAGTCCGATGTGACCGAAGGTCATCTGAAGCTGCAAAAGTGATGTCCAGAGTAGCCCGATGCCATCCAAGGGTTGTGAGAGCTGTCCAAAGGTTAAAGTGTGTCGGTGTGTCAATGTGTCAGTATGTCAATGTGTCGAATAGTATAAGACTTTGCGAAACATCTGAAGTTTGGAACTACGCTAATCTACTGGAACTCAAGAATAAATGAGGTGCAGAATTGGCAGCAGTCTAGCCAAACAATCGTTCTAAATGAACAAAAGATCGATTGCGCAGTTACAAATATACCAAGGTGACTCTACTAACTATGACTCGAAGGATGGGAAGTGAAGTGAAGTATCAGCAGTCAGTGAGCAAGATTATATCCTACTTCCATGAGAGACCAGAATCCATAGGCAAAACTAGTAGTGAGATAAGCAAGTCCGAACCTATGTAATAAGCCGCAAGGCAAGCAGCAATGCAAGTATACATGTAATAAGCTGCAATGCATGCTGTTTATACGTATTCCGAGGCTCCTGACAGGATGCTGATGGGATTTATCCATGTAGCACTAAGACATAGTCAACATATAGATAGAATAAGGGAAAACACACCAGCGAAGTCAAAAGGACGAGGATAGGACATGGTATGGTAACTCGTGAGGTTCAGATGGGCCTCAGAATGCAAGGACTGCCTGCAGAAGGTTCAGACAAGTACACATGGCCTTCAGGAGGTCATGGGAGGTCGAGGAATGATATGGGACGTAAGTGTTAGATTGACTGGTTCTGAGCCCAACACTGCGACCATCGTTACACCAGTTTCTAGGACTGAAATCAATGAGTTCAGTTTTCCATATTGCCATACCAGGAGGGGTTGCAGTCAAGGTCACAGAGTGCTTTAAGTGCTTCCATGGTGTTGTCCTGCATGATGTGGGAATCATGCATGGACATGAATACTAGGTGACCCTCAAAAGACAAAGTCTGTTAGCTTAGTCCTCAGACTAGTCAACCAAGGACTATGTTTCAAATCCTACCAACCACATTATTTTGAGACTGTGTTTCGATTCTTGCCAACCACATTATTTTTGAGACCATGTTTTAATTCCTGCCAACTGCATAATTTTGAGACTGTGTTTCAAATCCTGCCAACTGTATTATTTTTTTTACCCACTTTTCTTTAGTGTATCTTTGCTAGTAGTGTTATTTTTTTTAGCTACATAGTCTTCTGTAGTGTTTCTTTACTTTTACTTTTTCATTAGGAACCTTTGACTCACCTGACACTTCATAAAATTATACCTACAGGGTATGATGTCATTATGATGTCATAAGGCTCCACAGATACTCCTGCAGGTATTCTGTTGAAAGATATTATGTCATCAAGCTCTAGATTATTCTACTCCAAAATGACATCATTTTGATTCTAGAATATTCTGCTTCACAATGATTCACTCTGACTCACTCATGCAAAGTTCTGGAATCTTTTGCTTCACAATGATGTCATAGCTCTCTATTTTATTCTTTTATTAGGGTTTGACCCAATATTTTGATTGGTCCTCCTTATTTTTTGTTGTTTGTGAACCTAGGTTACTTTCTCATGCTAAATGTATATAAGGAGAGCCAATTCTCCCCCAAAATAATAGATCTCCCATTTGTGAAAATCTGTCTGTCAGACATTCTGCTTACAAAGCCAGTGCCTTTGAAGTGAAACAAGTGCAGGGACACTGAATCCCTTGAGATTACATAAGTTTCTCACTATAGAGACTTGTGACATTTGAGACCAGCTTCTCAAATTCAGTTTTGTGAGACTAGCTTCTCACCACGTGTAACAAATTGACCAACTACGAGTTTTGGTCAATATCTTCATACTATTGAGACCACATCTCAACCGAGTAACATATATTCAAGAGCACAGTTCAGAGCCTAGACAGTTTATCCTAGGCTAGTTTATTGTATATTTGAGACCAGCTTCTCACCACGTGTTACAAATTGACCAACTACGAGTTTTGGTCAATATTGTTGTATATCTGAGACCATGTCTCCACAGAGAACCCTACTTTTACGAAACCAAGTTACAAGTCTAGAAGCTTATTCCTAGACAAAAGATTTGAGTTTCAATAAAGAAAAGTTAAGCTCCAGCTAGGTTGATCTTAATAAAGATTGGTTTAGCAAGCCTCCCAAGAACTCACATATTATCTACCACAAAATAGGAAAAGTTGTAGACCGTTGTAACGATGGTCATGGCATTGGGCTTGGAACCACATATTTTCATACTCATGTCAACACCCGAAACATATGCGCACATGTCCGACACACTTTTGCACATGTCCGAGCCACTCTGCATCGGACCTTCAGACATTGCATCGGCCAATCACACTTTGTGCGCACTTGTCCATCCCATGTCCTGTCCATCTGAACTAGCCTCACTAAGTGCGTAGTTATTCCCATGCACATTTTCTGACATTCGGACTGCGTTATTACATGTCCGCAGCACCTCAGTGTCTTATTACATAGGACATCGGACCCGAAATATATTGCTACTATCTTTGCCTGTATTATTCTGGATTTCTATGTACTTACTTAAATACTCTGTAGTGACCCGTAGCAATTATCACCCAGTAGTTAGGAGCCATTTCCCAACTCTGCGGATCACCCAGAACACTCTTGTAGTTCTTAGTTGCATTGTGAAATATTATCTGTTCATTCACTGTCACAAACCTGCCATTTGTTATACTTGCAATACTGCTTGCAACCCGACACTCATTACATAGTTTCCGACCTATATTCGTGAAGTCCAAAAGTCCAAAATCTTGGACATCACACTTTGGCTTCAGACATTGGATAAGTACCCTCAGACATCATCAGATTACCTTCAGACATTGTTTCGCAGCATCGGACATTTTGTTATTTGCATTACTGATACATTTTATTATTAATACCAATTAGCAATCCCTTTAGGATCGAACACACTTGCTTGCAAGTATAGCAGCATAGGTCATGCTAAGATCTACCTAAATATTTGTTGACTAGGTAGTACAGTTTCTGCTGAGCCCAGCAGAGATTTACTCTTTACACCGTGTTAATTGAGGACTGGCAAGAAGTCTTATCCAAGTGTAATTGTGGTGTCATTACATTCTTATATGAATTTATATAAGACCCTCGGTTATTAAGACAGCATTCTCTTCTCTGTCTTGTTTGATGTGTGCAGCATCTTGATCGTAAGCTGCTTCCAGCTGATGCATGTTGGTGTAGAACCTTTCTAAGGAGATTCCTCGATGAAGGATCTTCTTGCCTTTGAGGTGGGGGCAGAAGGGAGTAAGATGTCCAGGGGTGAATTGGTTATAGATACAGCAGAAGTAATGCTCACATTGTTTCTGTTTGTGGCCATACTGAGAGCAGACCCTGCAGATGAAATTGTACTGGTAGGGTTGGGAGTTACTCCTGGTGTGCACATCATTTATTAACTCTTGTCTGGTAGGGTCCTGACCAGGTACATGTCTGGTGATGGGTAAACCAAGGACGAGGATGCACTTGGTGTGCAATCTATAGCTTCATCGAGGGGAATGTTTTGGTGGTGGAATGGGGATAGGTGTGCTATCCCTGATAGCAGATGATCTGATGGAAAGTAGGGGTATGTCTTTGGTGGTGACAAAACCCGGGGGAGGGGTGGTAAGACAAGCTTCCAAGCTTGGTTTGTTTTCTTTGTTCATCTTTCCCCAAGGGGGTGTGTGAGTTTCCCCACACCACCAGCTCCCAAGGTGGTGTCGGTCCCACTGATCAACTTACTTCCAGCTGAGGCTTCCAAGCCAATGACCGACAAGGGGAAGCAGCTGGTTCAGGGGACTCGGCAAGTTAGGGAAAATGACTCTGAGGAAGAGTCCAACAAGATGAAGAAGTGCAAGGTCAGTAGGCGCCTGTTGAGGGTAGTCATTTTGGACACTGAGGATGAAGATGGCCAGCCGAGCCGCGGGACCATCATTGTTGTAAAGGTTCATCATTGATTCATTTTTTCTTCTATCACTCACAGAACCATAGTCATCTAAGGTGGCAGTGCCTCAGACTCCAGCCCCTGCAAAAAATGTCAAGCAGGTGAGATTCACCTTGTATTATTAGTTGACACCACTCAAAGCTATCCAGGCTGGCACCAAGGCCCGTACTGGCCGAACAATGCCAAAGGAACAGGGTGGAGACACTTCAGCAGCAATGCTCAGTCCTCAATCTATCGTTTCTGCCACCAACAATGAGCCACAGTCATGAATCATTGGCCACTGTAATGGGTATGAGGTACCTGAATGGTGTCTTTGGCCCTTTGGCTGCTCCTAACCCTCCTTCAGTCAGCATCGGTCAAGCCTTAGTGTCTTGCCCTATTTGGTCATCCTGATGTGCAGGGCAGCACATTTACTAGTGGACAGTCCATCATCTAGGTCAGCGCAGGCCAGTCCTTCATCTGCTCCTGCCTTCCGATCTCATTTTAATGTAACATTACCTGCTTCTGATACTTACTCCCTCCCTTGATACTAAATATACCCCTATGTAGTGCATTATTAGTCACTTAGATACTTTTCACTACATAAATTGCATGAAATCGATCTGGATTGGCTTGTATATGCATTGATTGTGTGATTGCAAGTATCAACAGCGCTTTGGCGATATTTTGTATCTTGCCAACTAACTGACCGACTACCACATGTATGATTAGGTATTTTGTATGTTATTCCATAGATACAGACCATGTCTATTATACATCACATTTGACTGGCCTATTGACCAACCACCTCATCTATGATACTTGGCCCAAGGTAGTCCTGGTAAGTATGTTTGTATAGGTTATTCAGGGGAATTGACTCCATATTCACCATCCATGATATTTGACCGACATATTGACCAACAGACATATTGACCAACTACCCAACTCTATCATGGGCATGTATATTTGGTAAGACTGATACATTGAAGGAGTGTCCCTGATGCATCTATACCCTTAGAATATTGACTCATCTGTATATATCAGTACCACTGCTCACTTGGCCGACCTGTTCTGTTGGTATCACATACATACTTCAACCAGCCCACTTGTTGGTATTAGATATATGTTTGTGATAGGCCCCCTGTTTATATCAGGTACATATTTCATACACTACCTACCATAATCTCTGTCTTGCTTATATCACTTACCTATGTATATCTGCCCAAGAATGCTGTCTGACCCCTATACACTAGTATTTGTACTCCATCCTCATTTCCCGAGTTCCGTTGTCGTCTTAGATAGATGATCTATAGATGAACACCTACAAAATAAAATATCTCCATGGTCAGTAATTCAGACAAATACCAATGACTGATAACATGGTCGTTCATGGGTGGCCTGTCAGAATATTCAAGCTACGGTCAGACAAAGGTACTTTATGGTATCAGTATAGAAACACTAATCAACCCAGTGATATGGTGTTGACAAAAAGAAACAAAGAAACAGAAACAAGAACCAAGACTAAGCACAATAAATGATGCTATATTCTAAACTTACTATGAAAAGTCGTGTGAAGCTGTATTGGTCACTCCCACAGCGCAAACAGGTAGGATCAAAGGTCAAGACTTGTCAAAAGCTTTCGTAGAACTCTTAGCCTAATATTGAATCTGCTGCCAAGGAACTTATGATGAGTATTAAACAGAATCAGAAACAGATGTCCTTGGATTTCAATACCAAGTCCCCTATTCAATAGCTAAAGCCTATCTGACAAATAACAATCCTGGCTCAGTATACTACTCAGATGTGTGAGGTCAAGCGTACAATAAGCAACTTCTGAAGTCTCCCCACTAAGCTACTTTGAGCCTTTGGCGGACATAGAGACAACATGAAGAATCAGAGATAAGGCTCGAATGTTACAATAACATTTACTCCTATTTCATTTTTCCTTTGTAACCATGCCACCGACTCTAGACTCATCTAGACTCGGCTATTCTCTTATCAAGTGGGCTGTCCGCACTTCTCTTCTTCTTGATTGTAACATAGATACTATCTTGCGCCACATAGCGGTTTCACCTATCTTTGCTATCTTGATAGGTTGTACTCTTTTTCCTATCTTTGTTACCATTCTTGTCGCGGCTGCGCCGCTCCCTTTTACCTATATAAACCCCATGTACCATAGTTGTATTCCTTAACTTAATCTACTGGGTTTTCCCCTTGAATCCTGATCTACTAAGGTCTCCACCCTTAGTAGCCTGAATCCTGATTCTAAGACAGTCACTCACTGTCTTAGCCTGAACCCTTGATTGCGGTAAAAGTGCTAAAACCACTCACCGCCTAGGCAGAAGTGCTAAAACCACTCGCCGCTGATCCTGCACAGAAGCCGCGGCTCGTGCAGCGTGAACCCTTGACCAAGACACCTTCCTTGTACTAGGAAGGCCGACAAACTGTTGATTGAGCGATCTATCTTTGATCCTCGACAGCAGAGCTATCCCAGTCGTAACATCGAATGTATTTGCTACAATCAAGAGTACGTTAGTATCAGCAGCAAGAAACAAACACTCAGAATATATTCACTAAAATCTATAACACATTAGTGACACAACAATAAACGAGCACTCAGACTGTTAGCTTTCAATGGATAGAGAGAGTAAAACAGATAGAGTGAAACAGAACCTAGACTAGTGAAACAGAGATAAGGAAATAGATCCCAAGCCTAGAGAAATAGAGATAAAGGAAATAGATCCCAGACTAGAGTAAAATAGATCCCAAGCCTAGAGAAACAGATGGAGAGATAGAGACAGAGAACACGCACACACATGTAAACACTTGGAAAAACAAGAGACTTTTCAAAACAAATAAACCAGGCCTTGCAGGTTGTTGAGCACAGTGAGCTCAATGGCTCCTACTGTCTCATCAATGTACCTGACAATCCCGAACAGCTCTTCGCTGTTGTTTCTGATGCTGATCACATACAAACCTCACTCACAATTTTATTAAAGTGATTCTGGGGAATCTGATTGATTGCATTTCAGGCCAAAACGGAGGTCCTTATATAGACAAATCTACATGGCTATGCTAATTTACTTCCGTATACCTAGGTATATTCAATTTTTGTTTTCTCATGTATCTAGATATACTGCATTATTTGTCATAGATCATAATACTCATGTGAATCGCACGTAGGTGAACATGATTTGTCAGGCTTAGTTATAGATCAGCTGACTGTGGTAAGAGAACATGGTTTACATAATGTGTTGAAACTTGTTTGTATTTGGTGTTGTTTAGAGATGTAGCATATGACATAGAACAAAACTGGGTAACACGTGTATTTAAAGTTTCCTGGAAGTTTCCGCAAACAAACATATGTGGGAAATATTTTTCATGGATACTTCAGATGTATGAGAATCTGGCTGAGTCATCTTTGAGCCAAATAACACAAAATTCATTCCATGCAAAATTTCTGAAAAATATTTACTAGCACCACTCAGTCATGCACTGGACCAGTTTGGTGCAGGTCATTGTGACATCTGTACTAACATTTTACTACTCCCAGAACATAGTTCTACACTCTGCTTACCAGTAGTACAGTGCTTTACAAAGTACTTATAAACCTGTAAAATACCTGTAGTACTTTAGTTAGATTATCAATTGCTACTCAATAACCAAGTTTCCCTTCTCCATAGACTCAAGTTTCATCTCTTGTCGCAAATCTGAGTTCCCTAGGAGTTTTGTCTCTGAAGGACTAACCCACTTCCATTCCTACCCCCATTTCTGGATACTCTGGACTTGGTCCTCTCATTGTCTTTCTTCTATCTTAGACATCGTCTGAATAGCCTTACTCTTCTCCTTTCTACTTTGGACATTGTCTGAGTAGTCTACCTCATCCTCACTTTCACTTTCGACATTGTCTGAGTGATCCCTCTTCATTGTTCCTCTGGTGGGCACATTTTAAAATCAGTTCTCACATGCACTTGTCCTAGAAAGTGTGAATATGAACATCACATGACAACATGTTGACTTACACTTTTACACATAGACTTGGTGCACTCTCATTTGTCCTTTTGAAGATCAAATAAAAAGAAAAAAAATTGATGTAACAACTTGTATGTTTGCAAACACTTGAGTACCTGTGAACTTCCGTAAAAATTTGTCACTTAGAATGTGAAAAAACAAACATCAGGTAACAACATATTTGAGTATGCTATCGTTCTTTTGAAGTTAAATGAAAGAAGATCTATCTAAATGATAGCCATCGGATCAGAAACAACCATCATTGAAAAGAGAACCAAAGGAGGCCTGGCCAGAGAGGGGGATAAAAGTGTCTATCTTTGGTATCTGACCCCTCCCAAAAATGCCTGGCCAGTTCTGAGAAGGATTCACCATGGATATATCAAAAGATACATTAATTTGGACCATGAACAACTCAACTGAATAATATATCTCAGTTTTGAGCTTGTGTCATCAAACTTCCATAGTCTTGGGCTTGTACCTTGATAATGCAGTTAATTTGGTCTCATTCAAATGAATGAGTGTCAGCAGGAAGAGCCAGGAGGTACTCATAAATGAGATGAGTTTGGACCCAATTCTGTAAGAGAGTGATTTCAATTCACCCTCTGTTGTGACTGTTATGGTGAACATGCCGTTGAACCACTCAAATGCAAAGAGCCATCAGGCGTCGTATATTTGATGAGGTGGAAAACAAGCTTTGCAGTTATCTGGTTATGCTTTCACACATGCCGGAACACCTTGAAAAATGCTCAGTAGTACTGTGTGGATTTTATGTATTGTAATAATAGGTAGTCTTAAACATAGACCCTTAGTTCATCATCCCATTTGTCCAGAATGTAGTCAGACATTCCTAATATCACATTGACAACTTTTAGGATGTACTACATACATATTTGAATTAAGAGTCCATATAACAATGTGCAAACTATTTCACTATGTAGGCACTAAATATTATATGTATATCCTATATTCAGAATTTGTAATGTCCAATGCTGCATACTGACTGTTCTTGGAATATAAAGTGCCTCCCTGCCTCTCAATATATCAAAAAGCATGAATCGACTCCATCATCATAGACATCCAAGATCGGATTCAATGGGCTTAACCTTGATTGTGATTCCAAGGTTAGGCTTGATGTCCTCAGTCTTAATTTCAATGCCAAGGTCGGGCTTGAATTACTCGATCTTGATGCTTTTTGAAATTTTGGACTCGATTGATTCAATCTTGAGAGCCATCCCAAGGTTGTGGTCAATTGACTTGGTCTTAAAGGCTGTCCTGATGTTAGGCTTAAGTTCTTCAGCCTTCAAGACCTGCCCAACATCATGCTCTGTAGGCTCTGCATTTGTAGGAATATTAGACTATTTTATGTATGAGTACATTGTGTATCAATCAGGAAAGAATAAAAATAGACTCACCACTTCAGCCATAATTTGCTCCTCTTGATGGTCAATTCAAACCGCATAGCGTCTGCTGCGAGTGCCGCGAAATGGCCCATTTCTGTGTAAGGTCTTCAAGCGATCATTCTAATCCAATATGTCAGACACATGTAAGGTGGACAAAGAAGAAAAACTTACCAATATTTACTACTCGCATTATTTGAGCCATTCTCCTCCTAACCATCATGTCTCTGTATGTTTCTGCTCTTGGCATGGTGTAGATGTAGATGTAGATATGAAATGTATGTGACAGATGTGTGATGGAATGTATGTGATGGACATATGATGGACGTATGAGAGGGACTGTGATGGATTTTAAATAAATGACATGTTTGTTTATGTTATGTTGTGGATTTTAAATATTGTGCAGGATAAGTCGCCAACTAAGATTAAGGTCAGGGCCATAGAGACTGAAAGTACTGGAGAAGAATGAGATAGAATGTTTCCGGAGGTGAACCATATGTATGAAGATTAATAAATTTCATGTTATGGAGTGGTAACCTGACATTGTCTAATGGAATGTGAATGTCAAATGATAATTTAGCATATATACAAATGATGGGCACATACCTTCAGCAGCTTTGCTCTGATAAAAATGGATAAGTAAAGAAAGATAGCACATTTTTCACTAAATCTAAAATAGTAATCAAATATATTGTTGTAAAGGGCTTATCTGAATTGAAGGAAGATTCCACATGATTGTATTTCAACCTCAAGGTAGTTCTGGAGTTCCTGGAGTTTTGTCTTTATGATGGAATTCTGTGAAATTAACAAGCCTAGAAACTCCTTGTTTTTGTTGATGAATTTTATGTCTTGACTATTATGACATAGATAAGCAAATATATAAGAACAAAGAGATAAGAGATAAGACTTATGATTCAAAAGCTGGTGTGCAAGATATATATTGTCCATCCTCTCTAATATCACTACCAAAAACATCATTTATCTATATTGAATATGAACATTAAATTCTTTTTACCTTGAGCTGAATATTTGACAGATTAATGATGTATCCAATACCCACTCCCTCTGCTGGGTTGTCCATTAGACAAGTTTGCCTTACTAACAGGACAAGAAGCAAAGTCTTGCATACAGAGGGGAGATGTTATTATCTGAAGCTGATAGTTGGATATCTCTGCAACACAGCGGTCAATGTTATAGGAGTGGGGCCCTTCTGTAAAAGAAATCAAAGGATTCTAAATAGATTCCCTGGATAGCAGTTTGAATGTGCTAAAGAAAATATGCTCTTTTAGATATCTCTATTCATCAATGGATTATAAAACTTACTTGCATGAAAGCCTAGACAATGTTTTGTTAGATTCAGAAACATTTCTAAAAGATAAACTAAGATCTTTATCACTACCCCCTATATTATTGATAAAGATTAGACAGTTGATAGGTTTAAATTTAGATAAAATGTGAATCACCTATAAATGCTCTATAATTCTTGCTACATGTTTGACTGTCTCATCTTCAGTGGCAAAAACTGGCTGACATCAGTAACTGCTACAGGCAAAATAAAAAATCAACACACTTTTAGGTGAACAGAGAATATTACAGAAAGAGAATACCATTCTGTGGGTTATTTTGCTCCTAGGCTATGAGAAGCAAAATATATGGAGTCCCCAATGAGCTTTAATATATGAAGCTAAAGAAAGAAACAGGCAAAATTACCTATAGATGCAATGAAAGCCAAGTGACTTCTATGTTTGGCAAATTCAGAAATAGTGTCCTGAGATAGACCTGATTCTCTATCTAGATGAGCATATGATTTCTGTTGGTCCTTGAATCTGTGTAAAATATTAATAATTAATCAGATAAAATAAAGAAAACTTACTTTGCAAGGTGAAAGGCTAATTTTATGTAGTTTATCACAAGTCTAAGCTACTATCCCAATGTTCTGCCTCTCAACCAAGTCATGTATTAGATCAGACCTTTCAAGTTATTTGAGTAGGTACTGAAGTGCATGGAGTTCTAGATGATACTGTATGTAATTTGATAGCTGCTGCACTAGAAGGTGCATGATATCTTTGGAGATATCAATAGAATACATTCTGATAGTTGTGTTGAAAGCAATGTTCAAAGATGAACAGTGACTAGAGGTGAGTCACTCCTATATTAGTATCTCCTAAATAATTTTTGCAAATATGTGGGCATCTCCAGATCTTTGTCAGTATAATCCTCATCATAGGCTTGGCCTTCTATTGGAAATTTAGGCAAACTTAGACAGTGCTTATTGAATTAGGGATGATTAATTAATTAATGAAATTTCAGGTCTCTAGCCTAAGCATTGCAGCAAATATTATGACATAAGGCAGCATTAGGCATAATACATGTGTATGTGTAATATTTTGGTATGTATGAAGGATCATTCAAAGAAGTGTTCCTAATTAGTAAAGGTTGGGCAAGGATGGAGATGTTCCTGCAGATGTGGTCCTACAAACTAGTCCTATGTCTGTAATGTAGTTGGTGCTCCAAGGCCACCAATATTAATGCTAGTGAAACTGTAACTATACTACAAATGACAAACTTGGGTAATTTACAAATTCAAGCACATGGAAAATGTCCTTGAATAATCAGAGTTACAAGGGGCACCAGCTGCCCTTGCCTATGCAATAGTTTTAAAGGCTAGCTCTGCAGTCTGGAATATGCTTGCTTGGTTGAATCAAGCACAGTGCCCTCTTTCATTCCCACCATCCAATAAAGAGAAATTTTATGAAATGGAAAGCCTACCATCCATGTATATAAGCTAAAGATCTGATGTCAATGGTATTAGCAAAGGTCTACACCTAGTACAGTGAAGGATCCATTATATATGTCCATATTGAAGTGAAAACAGAGAGAGGAGGGATACATTATAAAGATACCTGCTGGCATCTCTAAGATCAATTCAGCCTTCCATACCATAAGCTAGAATCACTCTTTGCTATTGAACTTGCCCAGGTTGGCTAAAATTAGAACTGAAGCATGGACTATGACATAAGCTTACTATATATGAAGATGACACAGATGTCTATTGTAATATTCTTCCAGTCCACATGGCGACTGCAGTGTTAATTCTTCTAATGATTGAGGAATGTATATTGCCTTTGATGGGTCAGATAGTTGCTGCACTTCCATCATGGCCTCACTATAAAACATAAGAATAGTACTAGAGTCAGATGTTGCAATCACTCATAGTCCTTTAAGATGGACATTCAAAAGCTGCATCTTAAATGTCTTTTCATGTATCAGAGAATTGTAAACAATCTCCATTTTCTACTGGATCTTACATTGGTCATTGATATATGAATTTGCATTGAAACATATAATGTTCTTAGAACCTGACAAGTGTCCTTCTACATTGCAATTGATGGCACATTTGGTCTAAAAATATAAAAGTTATTCAAGATACATAGACAGTTATATCACTGACTGCAACAGATAATACTGCAAACCCAAGTATGAGTGTAGTTATCTGTGACTTGAGGATGTTGTTCCAAAGTAGTAACTTTAGGTCACAGTAGAAGTGGCTTATATGGGTGTTAACCACAACAGGATTCATGAATATAAGCACAGTGTCTGTTCCTAGCTTTCAAATTAGGGTTAATGCTATGCAAAAAGTAATTCAAAAAATCAAAGGAGTCATATAGTTTATCCTCATGACTTTCTATAAAATATTGATGATTATCCTTAGACATAGGCATCTTTGGCTCAATATTACAGCTGTCAATAAATGTCTTGCCTTATATAGCCAATCATGGCTTTATATAAGGTCATTCATAATATACTTGAGGATCTTGTTTATTGTATTTATATCTGGTTTTTACAAAAAAAATCAATAATACTATAACACTAACTGTAAAGAAAACACATACTCCAGCCAAACTTCTCATTTATCTGGTTCAATATTGTTATGATATATACTTTGATCTGCTCTTTTTCTGCATTTGTTGTTTGCAGTAATCAGTCCTACAAAAACCTTTTCTAATAAAGCAATTAAAGAACAGGTTGTTCATGCAAATAACAATGGAATCCACTGTAAAACCATAATGAACCTATGAAAGAAACGAAAAAGAACCACACATATTTGGCTTAAAGACAATAATTGAATCTATGATAGGTGACAGCACAGTAGAATGGCTCTAAATGTTTAGTAGAAGAGTTGTTACTTGGTCATATATATTGCTATTTAGTTGATCAGAATGCAGATCAACATACAGAAGTGCAAAGAACAGACCTTCCATTTCAAAATTCCTCCTTTATACAATATACATCTAGTATGTATATATTTTCAAATCAAAGAGTCTGAGGCTGGTTGTTGCCAAAAACATTGTTATTGAAGTGTTTGTATGAGAAAGTTTATTATAGACCTGACAATTGATTCCATAGAATACTAAAGCACCATAAACATGAGTGTCTTGATTAATTTCATCTTCACCACCTTTATTATCATCTGTCAAAGATGGATGGATGGAATTATCTATCTAAGTAAGATATAGAAGGAAATTTGACATGATGCTTTGGGACTGAATATTACCACACATCTTCATGCATACCAGTAGATCAAGATGACAGAGAACCTTGTTGTAGAAATTCCTATGATTATTGTCTTCAAAGCAAAAAAATTTATAGACAGAATAAAGGTTAAGTAGTGCCACACAGGTAAAGAACTGCATGGGAGCACATCAAGAGACTCTGAAGTTCTATTCATTATAGACATTGACTTTGAACCTTTCCTTATCTAGTAAAGGAAGGTCCTCCAGCTTTTGTTAGGTTTATTATAAAAAATATCATCTTCATTCTACAAGTAGTCAGAAACATTATATTATTTATGAATATTTAGATAACTTTTAAAAGTCAGTCAATCTGAGAAGTAAGGAAGGAATTGAAACTACCTACCTTATATGATTTACTAAAGAAAACGTAAATTGTTGTGTATACAATAATTATAGTCATTTTTCCAGTTTTGATACTCAACATCCAATGCCTCATTGATCATGACAGGCTGATTTTTCCCATACTGAATAGTAACCACTACTAGCTCATGTTTCACAAGGAAATTATCTTCCTTTCATTGCAGAGGTGCTTAGTCCACCCATTTGTTCCAGCCAACATTACAATATCATGAAGCCATTTGAAATCTTTCAGTCATTGAAGAAGAGAAATGAAAACTGTGGAAAAATAGGCAAGAAATCAAAGAATTGTAGTAAGTCCTAAATGTAAGCAGAAAGTCAACTCAAGAACAGCTACTGTTACGACTTGGATGGTATCTGTTGGCGACGCTCAAACAGAGCGTGTGTCATCAACGGTCGAGGACGTCCTTGGGCTAGCCCAAGGTTAGGGGTCTTACTTGGCGAGGTTTCGGCAAGTAAGATTTGACGCCTATGTCCGAATCGGGTAGCTTACGTCAAGTGGATGCTAGACGATGAGCTGTATCTGCCAAGGCTTACGACACCCGAAGGTTAATCGTAAGATCGTCGTTAATTAGAAGGACGGAAGTCCGACTAGTTAACAGGGGCTTTGCTCGTCGACGAAGTCGATGAGTAAAGATCGAGACTATGGGCTTATCCGCGAAGAGCAGACAAGAAGATAGAATATAGACTGCTGGCTAGGCAGAAAGGATCACTCTGGTGAGAGTAGGAGGTCAAGAACCAAGTAGATTCAAGTTAGGGAATATGGTACATGGTAGCGAGTTTATATAGAGGACAGGATGCATATTAGTGGGTGATAACTCGTACTACCAAGTGAAGTAAACGATAAAGGGCATAACCATAAAAGGAAGGCACGTTCGGGGTGAGACACGGGTGAACCAGAACATGCTTGATAAGAAAGTGAGTCAAAGGTCAAAACGAGAAGTGAAACGCGCAGGGGCACAATCGTGCAACTGTGGATCTAAGTATAAGTAACATGTGCGACTGCGCACTGAGTCAGAGATCGAAAAAGGGAAGAGGGCAAAGGGGATGCATTGTGCATCATATCATAGGTTACCGTCCGGACGGTAAGGGTAAGGGGACTGTCCACAGGATCAGTCAGGTGGTGGAACGGAGCATGGGTATGCTTCGTCAGCGAACGGATCCAGCCAGATGTACTGGCTCTGCTGAAGCGACAGGTAGAGAGCGAAAGGGAATGCGAGGATGACAAGGATAACAAGGGTAAGGTTGGGGTAAGGGTATGATGCGAGGGCTGATACGAGGAGGATTAGGAGAAAAATGGTAGGGGCCCAAGCGTCTAGATGTTCTTGTAACAAAGTGGAAGCATTCTGCTGCAGACTTTTCGCAGGTTCTGCAGTTCCAGTTATGACATGGTTCAGCCCACAAGGATAACTCCGAATGTGCCAATGTCTTTCCTGATCCTGTCGCCTTTTCTGACCCCTTATTTCCAGTAAAGGTTGAGGAGGACAGTTGTTGCAATTTGGAGTAGGCAACCATACCAAGAGACGAGAGATAGGTGATTTTGAGACATCAGAATTCTTCAAGAGTGTCAAAGCAGAGAAATTTTGAGTTGACAGGCTTTGTCGAAATCAATGATTCAGGAATGGAGGGAGTAGTGGACGTCAACAAAGAATCCTGAGACATAGTGTTTATATCCTCACAACTCTGATTCTCTCCATGGCATGATGAAAGCAAGCACTTTAACCCAGAGGTTGGTTGTGATGCTCCAATCTCTGTAAGTTCTAACTTTGTGAATTGTGGTTGGCTGCAATAGAGTGATTTCAAATCCTTTGCTGAGAGTTTGCAACTGTTTTGGATTGATAGATGTGGAATAATGTCCTGACAAAACTTTTTTGAGGTCAACAGCTCAACCTTCGAGTAGTAATGTCCATTGGGACAGCAGGAAGCTGGGACACACAGGTGTTCCGGTGACCTGTCCTCGAAAGTATTTAGTGTCATCTGACCACTCTTCATAACAGTTGAGGGTGAGCTGCTCTCCCCTTCTTCTCAGCACATATTGATAGTCCTTAGGACATAACCAAGGGTAGAATTGACTTCGCTCAACTGAGAGCTTTTTCCTTTTCCCTCGAAGGACATACTCATGTTCATATCCAGACTCATCATCCTCTTCCTCTTGCATACAAGCTCGTTGTCATATGGATGATCTGGCAGATTGCTCTGCTTCAACATTTCTTTCCCCTGAAACATTCTGTGGTTCTCCATGAGAGGGGTTATATTGTTCTCCGGAGGAATTCTGTTCAAGGGAGGCTCAGTCAAGGAGTTCAAGGAAATGATTGAACCTGGGTTTGAAGTCAAGTTGGGAGAGAGAGTTAGATTCCAATATAGTGGACTTGAGTATTTGCTGAATTTCGAACAAGGTGTCTCCCTTTTGAATAGACCCGTTTTTGAACTCTCCGACAAGTCTGAGACATTGTTTGACAGAAGATGAGTCGAACTCAGGGGTGTGAGTGTGTTCCCCTGAGGGGTTAAACAATACAGTCCCAGAGATTGATTCAACATTTTGAGACATGAGAAAGAATTTTCAATGAATAAATATTTGCGCAAAATTTTGCTACTGAAACAAACAATTCAAGTGAGAAGAGAAATACCTAAGAAACCAGATGAGCAGCATACCTAGCAAGACAAATGATTCGAGTGAGAAGAGGTAAAGGTACCTTCCCACGAGTCTCGCTAGACATAGACCGCAGGCTCCACTAAAGGAGGTGGCCACGACCAAAGCATAAAGTGAATTAGTCATGCCATCTTAGAGATGTGCAGGGCATCAGCCATGAAAGGTGAAGGGACAGGCCCAAACCAAGATAAACTTCGGGAGGACCTGAAGGAGAGCTGCTGAGGAGCATGCTCGTCCAACTACCCTGGTGTAAATAAAATTAAACTCAATAAATATTTGCTGTGGATTAATTGGGTGTAATTTATTTTATACTAAGCTAATGGGTTGCAGGTTTTCCTTGTGTCATTGTGAATGATGCTGGTTGTTGGTAGCCATAACTGGTGTGTTTCTATTTCATGTGTCTGAACCTAGCCGTAGGTCTCACTTTTGCTCCTATCGCGGAGTATGGGCTTACGTAGCAGGTGACTCATTGTCAATAGAGGCCTGCCCTCTTTCTGACCTTTACCGTCACCTTGCTAGGTATGCTGGACAGTCAGAACTTAGTAGTGATGTGGAGGTTTGGTTCTGAACCATGGTTCAAACCAGACCTTTCATGGACTGGACCACAGTCCAGTTCAACGTTCAGAGTATAGGCTGAACTGGACCGATGGTCCAGTCCAGTGTTCAGCATTCCTTGAACGCATTGGACGTGTCCGAACGCGTCTGAACATTTCTAAACTGCTTCCATTTTAGGCTACTCACACATACAAGATGACATCACCTACACACGCAATACACTGAACATGACATGATTACTCACGACTTTTTTGCTTGGAATCCGATTTGCAAGGACCATGCCACACTGGCAAGGTCCATGAAGGTTTGTTTGCCTACCACTAACCCAAACATCACAAAGGAAGAACCTGGTAAGGTATGGAGACTTTGGTTAATTTGGTTGAGTGCTAATGTATTTGTTAACGGGTCGTTTTTTTTCTAGGGTAGCTACATGAATTGTTCGGCACTCATGAACTCGATGGAAGTTAAAATGGATCAAATTCGAGGTAAGCTCAACTCTCCAAGCTTTCCCCCTCACAACATGGCTGACCAGTGTGGTCTGGGTGCAGATGGTACTCTCCTCGACGCCAATCAAATCCAATGGTACAATGATCCCGACGATGATACTCCACTGCCTGTGCTTCCCGCTCAGGCATGCCGCTCGACTTGTATCCCACACCCTGCACCCAAGCTTGTTGACCCCAACAACACTGTCTTGTGCAAATGTAAGGCTAGCAGGTCAATGGTCATGAGTGAGGGCTCTGAGGAGGAAAGTGAAGGAGACCAGGATAACGGGGTAACTACAGATGAGTCTTGCCTTGCATTAATTTCACTTGGCCTTGCTTCACAGTAGTGTACCAGTACTCCTTACTACTAGCTATAGTACAATCGAGTATATTTACAATGTGTTAGATGTTCGAATGCTGAACCGGACGTGAACCGGACGCCATGAACGTGTTCATGGCGTCCGGTTCAGCGTTCACAAAATTTGTTGCTGAACCGGACCAAACCGGACTTCCGCAACACTAGAATTTAGTGTCAGGCCCTCTTTTTGACCTTTACTGTTACATTACTAGCGTATTTCGAGCACCCACCACTCCCTCCATCTTGGTATCTCTACTATAGCGGGCATACTTCGTCTTTTCATCTTGGTCTGGGGCTCTTGTACTTATCTGCGCTGATTTACTATTAGTCATCAATAATAGTCGGCTCCTCGGCACGAGGAGGAGCCGTTTTGACTATATTTGCTGTGGATTAATAGCAGATATGAATGCTCACTTTTTTAGTGAATTTTGTCGCATTTCCAAATTGAAATTCTCACTCATTTGACCAAATTTGGCGTCCACATCCATCACTGGACGCAGTGGTATGTACATTACTTTTCAATCGATTTGTGTTTACCCACTGTCTTCAGGACTTCCGCAGCGCCTATCCATGTCTCGATGACGGACTCACTGTTTATTATCCCTGACTTCAATGCTAATGACTACGCTAACGCCATTCTCGCTGGTGAGCCGTATCCACAGGTTCAAACGCAATACGCAAAGCCCCGAACGGGCACAACCTTAGAGTCGGCAAAGGAGGGTGTGTCAGTTGCAATATCTAAGCTAGACTTGAGCATTGAGGATGTAGGCAAGCAAATCAAAAGTCTGGTACGAAATTATATCGTTACATCGAGATGTTGATCACGCTTTGATTGCAGGTTACCGCCCATCACGAAAAACTCCTTCGCCGAGCAGCGGGCATCAATAATCTCTCTGGATCACTAACTTCAGTTCGACATGGCTTAGACGACGTTGATGCCTCCTTGGAGAAGTACGTGGCTACGTCCTTTTGTTACGTCGTCACTTACGTGTCCTAATCAGACTTCGCCAGAAAATTCGTGTTCCATACCAAACGTTGGAATCGAGTGCTATCAAACTTCAACGTACTCGTCAAGCGTCGCATGCGTTGCGACGTATTCTACGTTTCGTTGTGCTCTCCCGACGTCTAGAGATGCAGATGTCCGAGCTTGTCACGTTTGACAAGCTGGGCACTGCTGCGAACAAGAAAACACTTAACAATTCAGAAGGCGTGTCCGTGGATCCACAAGATGACAAGGAGCGCACTATTGCTAAGGCGGCATTGACAATTGCAGAGCTAGGTTTGCTAGTTCATTACTTCTCAAGTAGCTCTGAATTGTTCATTTGCATAAAGGCGACTTGTTGGATGGACCTGAGGATACTGGAGATACGCCAGGGAAAGACTCGTCAGAAATCGGCAATAGGATTTCTCCAACGATAGATTCACCGGTCCCCCTACGATTTGTGAAGGCGGCGGCAGCACATATACCATTTATCGAAGAAGCGCAATGCAAGGTCACGCGTGAGATGGAATCGATGATCATGACCGGTCTCTCTACTTTGGTTCGTTATTCTGCATTGCAGTGTAAATCATTAACATAAACTTTGATATTAAGGATCAATCATTGTTGGCATCCTCATTACAAACAGCGTACAACTTGCGCGTACTCCCGAAGCTCATACAAGGTTTATCCACAGACCTTTGTGACGCCGTTGAGGAACGCATACGAACTGCATTTGATCTCTCACGTATTTCCAAGGAGGTTGTTTCGAAGGGTATGTCGTACCCAGATTATTCTTTCTTTCCTGATATTCTTCTTATTCTCAAGAAAGCATACCTTCGTCACAAGGTCTCTTGTATAAGTCGCGTGTCCGAACAGAACCGACGAACATCACAGCACCACAATGGACGGCTGCGCTTTGGACCCGCCTTGATTCTCTTATCGAGGAAATGGCGGCATGCTGTATCAAGGTAGCAACTTGAGCTTATTCTACATTGAGTCGACCTATTACCAGTTGCCTTAGGTATATACCCTCGAGAAGGCCCTGAAAATGAAGAAGGATCCGATCACCCAAAGATTGTTTCTTGACAATGTAACGAAGGTGCGTTCCTTGTACATTAATGTTTCAAATCCGTGAATAAGTGCTTGAAGGTTCTGGAGAACAAACCTAGTTCTACATTCTGGACTTCGCTGGGACGCTCGCTCGAGAAGTATGCTCGTGATGCCGCCAAAGGTTTGTTTAAGTTATTCGTGCCATATACATCACCACTGAAGTATCATGAATAGGATCAACCTTCCTTCAACAAACTCTTAGCGCTGGTTACCCTAAGCTCTTACGTCTCTTCCATAATTTTTTCGCCAAGATTGCAGTACATACCGATACAGTCTACACGCAATCCCAGCAATCGTAGGTCTTCCCCTTCTCATGACATATAGCATCATACATCAATTTTCAGACCAGAAACTGTTCTCGTGCTCCGCGCTCTCTCTACGTTTGAGGCTCTCTACCTCTCTCGTTCAACAACCCGTTTGAATGAAGCCATTTCCCAGGCTTTCGCTGGTGGTTCTCGCACACCTCCAGGAGCTAACGAGGGAGTCGCAATTGCGCGGGCGGTAATGAATGAACTTGATTCTGCTAGGTTCGATCCTTTGTTGATGCTTGCGGTGGCGAGAAACGTTGGTGCGGCTCTCGATGGTGCGACGATGAGGGCTGAGAGCCTAGTGAGTTCTTTCGGCTCTGAATAGGTACTAAATCACTCATGCGTTGAAACTAGATCTCTTCAGATCGCTCAGCGTATACGCTTCTTGGGCCAATGGCAACTCCACAGCAAATTTTGAATGGTCAAGTTGCGACGTGCCTTTATTATTGCTGGACGAATTTGGAGAAGGTGGCTGAAGAACACACCGAGAGTGCTGCTGCGCTTGTGAAACCTGGTGTAAAAGTATTTATTTTTCTCGAATATGAAGAGTACCATGTCTTGAAGTCACTTCACTGCACAGAAACTGCACGTCACTTACGATGGCATCATTGACCCGCTCCTGACGGCGATACGAAGGGAGCTATCTTCCATCATCTCGAGGCTTCACAGGGTTGACCTGCAGAAGACCATGGACCCGATGGCAGGCATGGCAGGGTCCAAGCCTGTACATGAAAGACCTCGCTGATAAACTAAACTACGTCAAGACTCAAATTTTCACAAATTTTACGAGTGATACGACGCAGTTATGGTAACCTTTCTAGTCATCTGCTGTTAACCTGTCGCGCTAAATACAACACCCAGGGTGCTCTCTATCGTAAAATACGTCATCCGAATCTTTGTGCTGCACGCCAGTATCGCAAAACCGTTGGGGGAGAGCGGGAAGCTGCAGCTCACGACAGATATGACGGAGCTTGAATTTGCGTTGGGCGCGTTCCTTGGGTCCTCAAGCAAGCGTGGTCTTGAAGTAGCAGGGGAGGAGTACAAAATGCTCAGAGCCATGCGGTTTGTTCTATTCCTGATGCTAAGTGACGTGCGCTCACCCACTTATGATAGACCCCTCCTCTTCCTCGACACAGCTTCACTCGCAAGTCCAACGCACGCCGCGAACCTGCCTCCGCTCATAGTATTGCACCATATTCTCGTACGGTCCCCACTGCCGCTGCCGCATATAATGCATGGATGGCAGGAGGCAGAGTATGTGCGGTGGGTGGAAGAGCACAGGAAAGAGGATGCGTGGGCACTCATTGAGGCTGCGCTGGTTGGGAAGGAGGGAGACTTTGTAGAGCTTGCGAAGAAGGTGCTGAGGCAGGCGAGGGATGAGTGTGGCGAGAGTTGAAATGCTTATGACAGCGCTCAGCGCTTGCTCCCGTTTATTCATACCTGGACTGTGATACCAATATGCAGTGTCTTTCGTATTGAGAAACTAGATTTTTGTTATCAACTGCCAAGTCCCTGTTTGCGAGGGTTTCAATCACACTTGAGAATATTACGCCAAATTTGGTTCTCACCCTGTTTCTTTCCATGCAACGGCCAGGACCCGCCACGGTGATGATGCTGGACTGCATTACCGATGACGATGTGGGGCGGAAACTCCGTGTTGCGGGACGGTAAGTCCATCGTCTCCTCTTTGTTCTCTATCATTCACAGCATGCAAAAAACCTGCTCATATTCACTACAGGATGCTCACGTACGACCCTTCCACCGCCCTCGTGCTGCTCTCATTTTCGTCCCATGGACTTCTGGTAGACGTTTCTCTCGTGATCGATCCAGATGCGGTGTTTTCTACTGTAAAGTGGGGCGGAACACTTGATTCAAATGTAGACTGTAATTGGATGCACGAACGTAAAGCATGGGTGTGGGTTATGGGATGGTTGGAGAGGTCTGAGGTGGGTCGCGTTCAGTCACTTCACTGGCAGTGCGCGTTGCTTTAGCTGAACCGTATGACACTACATCGACGTGTCTATGGAAAAGGCTCCTGTTATCATAATACATGCTAATATATCGTAGCAGGACCTTCCAATACCAGAACCCCCACCCTACACATCACCACCAGATGTTGACCCGTCGATCGTGCTCAAGGCCCTGAACGTCACTTCTGCGCGTGATCTGGATGTTGTCGGGCTACGGACGGCGCTTGCGGTGATGGGAGAAGTACAACCTACGACGTATCCAGAATGAAGTATTGAAGGATCTACAGGCGCCAAGTTATGTCGCCGATGTCGTGATGTGAGTGAGTGATGATATATATGATGCTCCACTGCATGCTGATTTTCCATTTCGCAGCTATATTAAGCTGTCAACTCAGCGCTGGGCTATTGCAATATTTGCCCTGCGTGTCTGCCAAGGGGCGTATGTGCATATTCACTTGGTGGCCGTGTGGGCGTATACTCCCGTGGATTTGTGTGACGATTGAGTTGTTTTTTCGCATCGACAAAGCTTCCGAGATCAATGCGAAATATACTTACTGGACATACGCATGTGCATCACAACGTCAGAAGACTCAGAACGCACTTCTCGAGTACATGTACTAAATTGGATATACTTACTACTTACACCTATAAGTTATGTTATTGCCATAGGCTATCGTCATCCCTCACCCAACACTCATGTCGCGAAAAGTCGTTCTAGTAACTGGCTGTTCAAAAGGTGGGATTGGCTTCCATTTGTAAGTTCACTGCCTTAGTAAACTGTTTAATAATATCAATCTCGCTACTTCAACTTATGATAGATGTGAGCGTTTCGCCGAGCAGGGATGCACCGTATATGCCACATCTCGTAGGCTGGAGACAATGACCGACTTCAAGCATTCAGTAGAAAAGCGTGCCATGGATGTGACCAGCGATGACGATGTGAAGCTCGTCGTACAGTCTATTCTGGAAGAGCAGGGAAAAATCGACATCGTTGTGAATAATGCCGGTGTCCTGGCCATCGGTGCGTTAAAACATTTCAAGCCACAGTGAAACGGTTGTCATTTTCTTGCAGGACCGTTGCTTGATGTATCATTAGATCAGGCTAGAAAAGCTTTCGAGACCAACACGTTCTCGATCTTGCGGGTTGCACAGGCAGTCGCACCTTCCATGGTGGAACGCAAGCAAGGACTTATCGTCAATATTGGGTCAATTGTAGGAAACATGTGAGGACGATTCAATGATGCCATCTTTCAGCTGACCCCGTCTTAATAGCCCCACTCCATGGAATGGAATATACTGCGCAACTAAGGCAGCACTTCATGCGCTCAGCGATACTCTGGCTATGGAATGTAAACCCTTCGGCGTTAAAGTGCTTCTAGTGGTACCAGGCCGCATCCGGTCAAATATCAGTACCAACCAGGCAGCTGCACTCGAACTATCCCCCACATCCATCTACAAACCTTACTTCGACCGGGTGTACGAACGCTTGCATATCAGTCAAGGAAAAGGCTGCATGCCTACGGATGAATTTGCACGACGTGTAGTTGCAAAGGCGCTGAGTTCCAACCCTCCAACTTATATGTCACTTGGGGCCGACTCGCGTCTTTTCGCATTCTTCCACTGGCTCCCTCGCTGGCTTGTCTTCTGGATTTTGGGATCGAAGATGGTGTGGAGCAAGACCTGAGTCATCTACATAACTACCACATACTTTCTCTCGTCATGGACTGTTGCAGACGACCCAAATGGCTGGTGATGAAGGAACGTTCTGTACGAATATAATCTTTGCCTGGTATCCGCGACCCTGATAGCGCTCTTATCTGTCCCTCGTCGTATTAATCCCTACCCAAACCAAACTCTTCCTGCTATGATACAAATTGATACTAAGTTTTGGAACACGACATTTGTGGGCTGTGTCTGCACTCATTGTTGTGTATCGCGCACTTATTAAAGTTCGCTTCGGAGCGTCATACATACGTTGGCTCGTGAAGTTACGCGATACGGTCGCACACTGGATGAAATGCGACTCAGCATATTAAATGGAATTATGAAGAACGACAAAAGAAGGTAACAAAGCAGTGTTATAGAACGGAAAACATGGTATTTCAAACCAAAAAAAGAAAACTTGACTTGTTGGATGCAACACTGATCATGCAGTTTCGATCCAACGAGCGGTGGCAGCAATGCGAAAATTCATGGGTATAACAGTATGCCTGAAACACTTTCAGATACGATCGCCCCCGTGTAACTCGAGACTTACTCATAATGCTGTTGAACACCATCGCCTTCCATGATCAGTACGTCTCCCTGAGAAATTTCAGGTCTAGAACAACTGCACTTTTGTAAACACGACTTACGTGCCGGAGGATTAAAGTCAACACGTTTGATGATGATTGTTTTGGCTCCTTCGATGTGGCACGGGCACGAAAATGCATGAATGCCGCGGACCCTAGTGAAAGGGAGGCTACGACAGGACCTAGCCCGTGCTCGCTATCGCTGTGGAACTAAAGCACGTCAATACAAGACTACGAGGTAATTGCTTCACACGACTTACAGACATCTTTTGTTTTTCCATGTATGCAGCGCTGAGGATCTCGTTGAACGGTATGTCTTTTTGAAGAGCGAGACGAGATCTCTCTTTGATCAAGGCGAGGGCACCACACACGGATGATGGTGCCTTGTCGAAAGGCACGGTATTCCCTGTTCCACCAACATACTTTTTCGTCCTTGAGCATTGTGTCATTAAAGCAGACGTAGGATGTAATGACCTGGTATGGTTCGCCCGCTGCATATCAAAATGCTCAGGACGAGAATATATCGACAAAGAAAATATGCACCCACAATTTTGAGAAAAGTAATTAGTGAGGAAAGTTCCACGGACTGCAACACGGCTTGAGTGATCATTAGCACGATTCTTAAATCTTTATTGCGTACGTTTTTGCTGGATGGATTTTAGAAGGACCTCGTAAATAAAAGGAAGCCGCTCACAAGCCTGAGTGGGTATCTTCTAAGAAGCAACTCTCCCTCTTCAGCTTGCTCCTGATACTGTCGAAATATCTCATCTGCCTGTTTGTTCGCCAACGGAGTGCCCAATAAGAGATGGATCATTCCTCTGTACGACTTCGTCATTAAAATGATAGCGCAGCATAGTAGTGTGACCCTTACCTCCCATGAGGGAGAATGAATGTGAGGTGGTTTGTGAATCCTCCGCCATCGCCCAATTCGAATGGCTGTGGTCGACAAGCGATGATCCCTGCGAGAATCGCTGAAGGTGAGGAAGAAGTGCCAGTGAATGACAATAGCTCAGCAAACCTGATTGTTTTCCAACCTGCGAATGTAGAAAATCTGCCGGTGGTCGCTGGTGCCAAAACTCTTTTGCTGTCCGTAGTCTTCCGGGAACTTTGTGAATCGACTATGGGAAATGCCTCAAAGGAAGCCTGCACGATAAGAGGGGGCGATACATACATGACAATGAGAACATTCCCAATGTTCCCATTTGAAACTTCAAACTTGCGTCAGGATGGCATAGTGTATCTGTGAGGCTACGCTTACCGACTCGAAAGGCGCCCGCACTTTTCACAGTGCCAGCCCTTGCTAAATGCATACGATGTAGTAATGGAATCCATCGTTTCAATGAGCTTCGCAGGGCGAAGCTCTGGCAGATTGGTAAAGATTGTTTTAATTGGGCGTAAAAATGCGGCGTCATAGTCAAGGTGTTCCAGCTCTCGTCCCCCTATCCTCCAAAAGGAAGTACAAGAAGGGTTCAGACACGTCCATCCCTGTGAATAAACAACAGGACTCTTCTGAGAACATTTATTGCATGCCACATCGACAACGGCATTTGGCGGCGACGAATCTTGTCTAGGGGCAGATTGACAATCTGCTCAAGGTTGAGAGATATCGAATGCGAGAGTCTCAGTAACCCACCTCCCATGGGATCGGAAAGCATATCCACGTCATCGCTCTTGGATGATATCCACCACGGATTGCCCTGTCCTTCGCACCATTGGAAAGCGAACTTCCAGCGGACAACTTTTCCGCATCCATTGGATGCGGGTTGATACTCGGCTGCAGCGGAAGCTCAGCGACTCAGAAATGCGAATCAAATGTAAATGTGTCGTACCCCATGCATGAGATATCCAATATAATCCAAGGACAACATACGTGTAGCCCGAGGCACCAAGATCGTAAGGGAATAAAGCGTACTTATCGTCAGCTAGAAGAACCAAAGGCCGTTTGTCCGTGTAGCTTTTGAGTAGAGCACGGACGGATTTGTCTGTGGCTTCTTGATCCTGAGCCTGTTGAAACCGAGCAGCACCAACCCGGTAATCGAGAATGCTCTCAGCTTTACCGCCACTGTATAGCCACGAATTAGACAACATATGGGAGCGATGTGACATGGACTAACCCATGGGAAACAATTAATCTTCCCTCGCAATGAAATATATCACGGCTGACCTCACCCAGTTAGCGACATCTTGCCTTTGTGCTAAAGAACATACCTTGCGGGTGATCCACCCAGAAGATAGCCTTTGACGATATCCTTCAAAGAATAAACACCACTCTGGTAACTTCGAAAGTAGTCGAATGATTCACAGACTTCTTGGCGAGACTACGTGCCAGTTAAGGGTACTGTATGCTCACACAGCATTGTGCATACCTCAGCCCAAATTCGCGGCATTACCGTTACTGGTAAACGAGGTTTCTGCCGTTCAATCGTTGGCGCACTGACGTCGGTCACCTCCTTACAGCTCGACAGCGGGGGCAAAGCACCGTTAGTTGAAGGTGTATTAAATTCGTGCGCAATATCATCAACATCCGCGACATCATCTTGATCATCATCGCGAGCCCAGTCCTCCATATGCACCGAAACTGTCTGGGAGTGCATCAGCGAGGCATTCCTACCAATATCTGTCAGCAAACGATCGACGCCTTCCTGATCAAGGGCTTGTCTCGACGGTGGAGCATAGGAAATTTGTTGTTCATGTCTTGGTGGAATATACTTTGTGGCTACTTTGCGTGGCAAGGGGCGAAGAGACCGTTTAGATGGCAAAAGTACACCCGTAACCATCAATTCGGAAGATCGCGCTACGAAGTGATCTGAATCGTTAGACTGTAGGCCGCTATACTCCTGACCATGGTTTGGGGACAGGTCACCATTAGCGAGGACTTGTGTACCTTGTTCTGCATGGGTAGTGCTGTCAACATTGCTAAGCGAGCTACTGGCCGGTCCTGGGTGGATTTCACCTGGTGATTGACAGACGGGCGATACAGGTGGATCATCTAAACAATCCTCCTTGGGTAATGGCAGGGGAATCGGTAGGTCAATCGAAGAAAGGCCATCCGAACTGTCGAGCATGATTTTATCATTAGGAGTCTTATTGGACTCAGGTGCTTCAGGTGTGCGGGGATGCTCTTGTGGTGACTCGGTAACTGTAAAAGGTGTCGAGCTTGAACGCTTTTGGCCACTGCTGCGGTCGCGACCCCGACCCCGACCCCGACCTCGACCCCGACCTTGACCCCTACCCCTACCACGATTGCGACTGTTGTCATTGACTCCACGTCTAGGTGCCTTTGCGCTGTGCCCTCCACGGCCCGATCGTGCGCCTTGTGTGGCGCGAGTGTTCAGTAGTTCATGTTTCTTCTGGAAAAGGTACTCCGTTGAGTGGTTATTCGCTTGTAACAGACGATAAAATTCAAAGAAGATGGCCAGCATGTTTGGATCATTGGCAGAGTGTACTGTGGCGCCTGTCTCATCATTCTCCGGCGGAAATGCTAGACGGAGCCATGCTTGAGCTGCAGCAAGGGCTTGTTTCTAGTGAACGTCCGAGTTGTCAGTTATATTTGTACTGGTGCACATGACATACGTCGCGCCGCATATCTTCCACGAAGTTCTCGATAATGGCATTGCTTTCACGACGAGTCGAACGTTCGGCCTCGGAGTATAGAAAGCAGTAAGATAGCAGAGGTTCATAAGCAAGCAAAGACGTGTCATCCCAGGTAACTGGCAACTCCATGAGGCACGAGGTCTCGCGTTGCCTTCAGTAAGTCTGCTATGCCTGGTTTCTGATATATGCCTCGTAGAAGGGAATCCTTGAAATGGAAAGCGACGCGCATAGCTCCCCAGGGTCCAGGTGCCCTTACGCATTACGCGAGGTTCTAGCGAATGAAGCCACGGAAATATCCGGACTTTCAGGCGTGAAGAGCCGCAACTTGCACAGTGAAACTCAAAAGCGCGTAAAAGTAAGAATGTTATCAAGGTTGGAATAAGTAATACTCTAACGATACGGCCTACGACTGGAATCACGAATTTACTTCGACCCCAAAGCATGTTGCAGGGCCTCATACACATCAGCCTCTATCCGTGCTTCCATTTTGTCCTCCTCAGATCCGTTCCCTGCAGCGACCTTCAAAGCCTCCTGTAGGTTTGCACGAACAGCCTGAGAGGACAAATTTAGAGTACGATGACGCGTATGAGAATGGAACTTTACCTCGGAGGAGAATGACTCCAGGGGCGCAGCCTCGACGACGTTAATGGTGAGTTTGTTACCGGGGTGTACAGTTGCAAAGCCACCGGATGCTAGCACTGTGCATCAATATCATTTGTAAAATAATATCAAATTTTCAACACACCAAACCACTTCTTGGAAGCGTTTCCTGACTCAATGACCTCGATCAGACCAGGACGCAGAGCCTCGATGGAGGGAACATGGTTTGCCAGGATACCCATGTCACCGGTTGCAGCGGCAACATTCACCTGGACAACATCTGTGGAGGTGAAGATAGCCTTCGCAATGTTCTTAATTCCGAGTAAATGGGAGAGTTACAGCGGAACGCACCTGGTGAGGAAGAACAAGGGAAAGGCTAATTTTGTCAGCTACTTCAGCGTATCCTCGTCGCTGCTGTGCGAGCGTTGATGGGACACGTCGGGCGGCAGAGGAGAGCAGACGCAAAGCAGACATGGTCAAAATATTTTATGGACGTGACCGAACGATGGAGTGAGGAACGATACGTTCTTTGGTCGGATAAAGCCGCTTCACGGGCACGTGGGCTTGTGTCACATGATTTCTGTTCTCCCTGTCTTTCGCTCAAGTCTTTTGTTCAGGTTATCAATCTTGTTCTATATTATCACGCTGCAACCAGAATATAACTCAGGCCTCCTTGTTACCTCTCTGCTGGCATTCACGGTCTCCAAGGCACCATAACATGATCAGCATGTCCGCACAAGCCACCGTCATGACGTCGTCGTCCTTATGATCATACCCGTGTTAGCATTCCAGCAGAACACCCCATCATGATCTGTCGCACTCATAACATGCTGACCATGCGTGCTTTTCTTGCACTCGTGCCCCAAATCTGAAAGGGCCTGCATATAATTTGAACCAAGTCCATTCGGGATTCATGCTGATGGGACGTTCTGCTGTGGTGTAGTTCATGACGACCGTGGAATGAAATTTCAAAATGGCCATCGCACAATTCCAATGTGTAACGATGGTATCCATCTGCTTGCCCCATTCACCAGCTCGTTGATCCCACAGCTATTGTACTCCGTCTTGCGACAGAACTTCTCAGCTCCGGTGAATCTTTCCTCCACGAGAGATAGCAGCATGATTGTGTACAAGCAACGAACCAGAAGCCATGACGATGAAGACAACAAAGAGAAGAACGGGAAAACAGGGGGTGAAAAAATTCATGCTGATAAAGACTGTTGTGGTTGATTGGGCGGTAAGAGCTGCCATGGTCGGGATTAAACCCTCTTCTAGGGTACAGGATTTGTACACAAGTAATCTATCTACAATTCTCAATAGAAACGATGCAGATCGTCATGTGTCAGGGACTGTTAGGTTTGGAATGGTAGCCGTTGGTGGGCGTGTAATCCTTTGGTAACAACTCTGGTACGCGTCGCACGCCACGCTCACTGTTATAAAAAGAGTTGAGGATCTTATAATATATCCACCATGTAAATCACTTACATCTCATCCACAGCAATCATGAGGTCGTAATTTATTTCCTGGCTCACAACAGAGTCGCGATTGTAACTTGGGTGAGAGCGCACGAAATTACGAATCCAAGTCGCCGGTGTCTGTAAAGAGCCTAAAACTGATGTAAGCACACATCTGAAAAGAAAAGTAAATGTTATCTGTGCCTATTGCGCGTCTGCGGACAAGGTCGAGGTATCTATCTATTTGCAGCTTGTCTCCCTCATCAACGTCTAAGGTGTCGATGTAAGTTTCGACGACGCCAAGCAGGCCAGGGAACTTAGATCCCTGCGAAAATATCAGCTTTTGACGATTGCAGGCAAAGAATACATAACTACCTTCCCAACAAAAATCTCTTCTACAGTCATCTCTTCATACTCCTCTTCAATTGGTCCATCTGCCACATGCGACGGTCGAGGAACAGGGGGGAAACAATTACGAAGTAGTTTCTCCTTCGCTGGAGCACCTTCCACAGGCGAGGATGATCCAGAGCATGAAGGTGGGCTAATGGTGAGAGTGGAATGCCCTGGAGGAAGAACGTCCTTCCGGAAATAAAACTTTCCAGAACGAGCTGCATCTCTCCTCTGCGCGCGGGCCATGTTCTCGTCAACCTACTACAACATCAGTCAAATAGCATAGGCGAGAGATATTTGATTGAACCTTGGAAATAGGGATATAGAAGTTAAGGTTGAATGCTAGAATGGCGCGGGAAAGGAGGACAATGAAGACAGCAAATGCAGCGTTCTCAAAGTCTGTCATTTGCACCTCCATGCTACGAAACTCTACACGCCAGCCGATGGGAGAGTTTGGTGGGGGCGGTTTGAATCTAAGAGTCTGCCAGTTCGTGGATTGAATGTTCTGCCAAGACGTTCAGAGCAACAAAAAAAGGTAGGACGAAGGGTGACATCACCTCAAAGTGGTCACTGCTAGTAGTGTCATCTTGATTGATGGTTTCAGAGAAAATGACGAGAGGATCTCGAATGAATAAATGCGCCATGTGTTTGGAAAGCATTTCATCTATGCCTGAGTCCAAAAGAGTCAGTCGTAATAAAGTCACAAAGATCCCCATACTCACCGTGATTACGAAGACGTTGAAAGATACCTTTATTATAGGGAACATATGCGTCGTTGTATTCGGGTTTGTTGGTCCAATCATTTGCGATATAGAGGTCAACGCTGTCGTAACGAGACTTGGGAATGATGGAGTTGTCTTTCGAAGGCTAGGATACTCGTTTCATAAACCTTACTAATGAACTGAAATGACACTAACCTTCAAACCACGTTCTTCTGGTGTACGATCATCGACGCTGCCAGCGATGACATTCCAACGGCAGTCTACATCAGCTAGGTAACCTCTCCAAGCGGGACTAGCTGCTGTCAAGGCAAGCTGCAAAACGTCTTGATCTACTCAAGGGTTGCCTCGCTAGATCACCAACGTACCATGATTGGTCCAACGGGGACAAGAGCATCATACATGCGCCTTGCTTCATCTACATTGCAACTCTGAAAAGTGAGTTGCAAACAGCAACATCCCATTCCGAAGCCCATTGCGTCCATGTAAATATGATCGATCAATGCCGCGCCGTTCTTCGCCTCTGCTCACCGATAGATTAAATCTGATTCAGTAAATGGTATAGGGTTGCACTAACCCGGATCTTCTGGGTATATCGAACGTTGCCATGGTATAGTGGGGTCGACAAATGGTCGAGGTGTTTTTTCATCGATGAATATGGGAAGGTTGATTGCGACCTTGGAGCCCCGTCTACTACGGATATTGGAAGTCAGAGTACTAAACAAATTGGATAAGTTCTGCGTCCATGTACAGTCAAAATAGCCAGGCACTGACGGGAAACGCGCGTGAGGATTGGTGATCTCCTCCGGCAGGAAGAGGCTATGACTGGATTTGGCATCATCTGACGAGAAGTGTGGTTCGGTAAAGACGCCACGCGTTCCCAGGCGAGGGAAAGATGTGAAGGTGAATGGGATTTCGTTTGCTTTCAGGTGCTTTTTTGCAAGCGTACGTCTTATTAATAACAAGGTTCAATACCACACAGAATATCCGCGGGTGCGACATTACCTGTAGTGCATATTTATCTCGACGGAAAGCAGGTCCGGAATAGAGCCCGTGTATGGAGAGCCGGGAGTTGACTCCAGCATGTATCTTCCGTACTCCGGGTGGAAAGTTGGAACAGTCATACTGAGGAACAATTCTATTACGGCGTTTCGCCTGAGGATCCGATTACTCACAGGGCGGGTGTATCGTCGTCGGTGAGGTTGCCTACAACCTGACTAAGCTTTGCAAGGATCTCTGTCTGACGCAGAGAAAGCTTTGCATTTTTCTCTTCGTTGTCAAAGGTAACAACCATGTATTCAACCTTTTATCATATATGTAAGCGAATAAAACTGGGGCTGGGAGTATTTACCTCGTCTCCCCACAGCAACTCATCGCCACATCTGTCCTTGACTCGATCCCAAGTATGGAGGAACTGCGTGATACCATGCTCTCGAACGTGGTCCGCAAACTGCTTTGCTTCATCCCATGTTAAGGGTGTTCCAAGGTACAGGAGGCCCATGACGTATCGCGGGCACAAGATTGTGCTGCAAAGCTGGTTCCAAGCTTGCGTGATATATAGGATGCTCCGGGTCCAAATACAATCCCGGATAGATTTGACCGGGAGGGTCGCAATTATCGTACCTTACCAATTAGATCACATGCATATTATTTGTCAGGATACTTATTAATTATCGTGTAATCGTTATCTAGCCCATCACGCCTTCTAGTACCACCTTGAGCGCCAAGCGCAGACCTGACAAGTAACAACGACCATCTCATGGACTTAATCCTTTTGTCCTCCGACCGTCCTTTAAAGCGGACAGATAGACACCCACACCTCACGTGTACATTATCGTGTGAAGCATGTCATTCTGGTCAAAAAAATCATCTAACCGCAGCGCTCCAAAATTGGATGATCGCACTGCTCGACTAGCCAGGTTACAGGGAAATGCTGTTTAGCTGTTTCCTCCATTGGTTGTCCACTTCAGCACAATCTTCAGCGCAAGCAGAACGTGTCTCAGCGCTCGAGTCCAGGCCTCTTCCTGACTGAACTGAAGTTTTACAGACGCTTCCCCTATCTTATCTTTGACAATTCTGCCCCCCCAAGGATCAGTATGCGTGGGATGAATATAGAAGGCGTTCACGTACTGATGG